AGTGAAATAAAATAATTTCACTGAACAAACTGAAATAAATCCATTTCACTGAACAAACAGTGAAATGAAATCATTTCACTGAACAAACAGTGAAATAAAATCATTTCACTGAACAAACAGTGAAATGAAATCATTTCACTGAACAAACAGTGAAATGAAATCATTTCACTGAACAAATAGTGAAATAAAATCAGTACACTGAACAAACTGTGAAATAAAATCATTTCACACTAAAAATGTGATCTGTACTAGCAGTAAGCTCTGTGCACTTGACATAAGACCAAGTAAGTTCATGTAAAAAACAACAAGCTTAAACAAAAAATAAAAACAATATGCAAACATCTCAAAAGCATATAAAAACAACACTCAAAATTGGTAATTTCTATAAAAATGTGTTGTTGAGAAATTCAACATCTCAACAATGACACAACCAAACCTACAAACCACACTAATGCCCATTGCACATTAAAACCCGATATATTCACACAGACCTAATGCTAAAACAGAACGTGGGAATTTTAAGACTACAAATTCAAAAGTGATGTCAGGGTAGGTCCATGTACATTCATCGAAGTCCATACACGTTGAAATAAAACTGGAGAAACTGTTAGCGAGCTTACTAGGTTTCTGGAGCAGAAATTAAAAAAAACAAGGGCCATAACTCTAAAACAGTCAAAAATAGTTAAATCAAAAATTCCTTTTTTCATGCACTTGTACATATGATGTTGTCTGACTGTGCTAAGTTACCAACATATTCAGAAAAATGATAAGAAGGAGTTGCACTTAAAAGGTTTCTGGAGCAGAAATTTTGCGTTTGAAGGGACATAATTCCAAGAAAAATAGCCAAAGCACAAATAACATTCTTTAAGCATGTGTACATATAGTATACATGCCATACGCTTAAAGCGTCTCGCTACACCAGTTATGATCGGGGAGAAGAGTTCCACTTAGATTTCTGACCCGAAGTAGTCTCCCTTCTATACAGCAGATGAAGCAACCAAAGGCGTTTTTCTAGCTTAGAGTAGCCTACCCTGTCAGGTTTTACATATATGCTCTGCAGCCCATAAATTAGACACTCATTTTGATGCTTTGGATGTATAATATTCAGAGAGAGTATGCTTTGCAATTTAAAGGTCCTAAACTCGACTCCTGCATTAAACTTGTTTTCTTTTTCGTTTCTATTTTCAAACATTCAAATTTCACACAATTACAATTTTGTAAAATGCATTGCAACATTTTTATGGAATATTTAATTTGATAGGGACTGGAACAAATATGTCAACACAATGACAATATTAGTGATATAATTTACCAAGCTGGTACTCTTTCTTTTAGATAAGTTTTGTACGGGCATTGAATTCCCACACTGTTCTATCTGTGATCACAGAGTAGTAGGTACAGGGTACACACACTGTGTTCTAGCTGTGATCACAGCTAGAACACAGTGTGTGTACCGTGTACCTACTACACTGTGAACACAGCTAGAACACAGTATGTGTACCCTGGACCTACTACACTGTGATAACATCTAGAACCCAGTGTGTGTACCCTGTTCCTACCACACTGTGATCTCATCTAGAACACAGTTTGTGGACCGTGTACCTACTACACTGTGTTCTAGCTGTTATCACACTGTGGCAGGTACATGGTGCACACACTGTGTTCCCATAGCACTATTTGTTTAGTGACTTCCTCTGTCCAATTTCTGGTCACCAGATCATACATCTGGATTGTGTGAGTCTTCTTCATATAGTCTCCATTAATCCAACAACCAATGACAGACACACAGTCATCAACAACGGAATACGTGGCATATATGCGAGGCTGGGGCACAGCACCTACTGTTTCCCACCGCTCATTTTGATGCTTTGGATGTATAATATTCAGAGAGAGTATTATACATACAAAGCATCAAAATGAGCGGTGGGAAACAGTAGGTGCTGTGCCCCAGCCTCGCATATATGCCACGTATTCCGTTGTTGATGACTGTGTGTCTGTGATTGGTGGTTGGATTAATGGAGACTATATGAGGAAGGCTCACCCAATCCAGATGTATGATCTGGTGACAAGAAATTGGACAGAGGAAGAAAGTAAACAAATAAAGCTAGGGGAACACAGTGTGTCCACCATGTACCTGCCACAGTGGGATAACATCTAGAACACAGTTGGTATACCGTGTACCTGCCACAGTGAGATTACATCTAGAACACAGTTTGTGGACCGTGTACCTACTACACTGTGAACACAGCTAGAACACAGTGTAGTAGGTACAGGGTATACACACTGTGTTCTAGCGGTGATCACAGGGTGACAGGTACACGGTATACAAACTGTGTTCTAGATGAGATCACAGTGTGGTAGGGACAGGGTACACACACTGTGTTTAAGCTGTGATCACAGTGTGGCCGCCACACGGTATACAAACTGTGTTCTAGATGTGATCCCAGTGTGGTAGGTACAGGGTACACACACCGTGTTCTAGCTGTGATCAAAGTGTGGCAGGTACACGGTATACCAACTGTGTTCTAGATGTAATCTCACTGTGGCAGGTACACAGTATACAAACTGTGTTCTAGATGTTATCCCACTGTGGCAGGTACATGGTGCACACACTGTGGTCCCATAGCTCTATTTGTTTACTGTCTTTCTCTGTCCAATTTCTGGTCACTAGATCATACATCTGGATTGTGTGAGTCTTCTTCATATAGTCTCCATTAATCCAACCACGAAGCACAGACACACAGTCATCAACAACGGAATACGTGGCATATATGCGAGGCTGGGGCACAGCACCTACTGTTTCCCACCGCTCATTTTGATGCTTTGGATGTATAATATTCAGAGAGAGTATTATACATACAAAGCATCAAAATGAGCGGTGGGAAACAGTAGGTGCTGTGCCCCAGCCTCGCATATATGCCACGTATTCCGTTGTTGATGACTGTGTGTCTGTCATTGGTTGTTGGATTAATGGAGACTATATGAAGAAGACTCACACAATCCAGATGTATAATCTGGTGACCAGAAATTGGACAGAGGAAGTCACTAAACAAATAGTGCTATGGGAACACAGTGTGTGCCCCATGTACCTGCCACAGTGGGATAACATCTAGAACACAGTTTGTGTCCCGTGTACCTGTCACACTGTGATCACCGCTAGAACACAGTGTGTATACCCTGTACCTACTACACTGTGTTCTAGCTGTGATCACAGCTAGAACACGGTGTGTGTACCCTGTACCTACTACACTGTGAACACAGCTAGAACACAGTGTGGGTACCCTGTACCTACTACACTGTGTTCTAGCTGTTATCACACTGTGGCAGGTACATGGTGCACACACTGTGTTTCCCTAGCTTTATTTGTTTACTGTCTTCCTCTGTCCAATTTCTGGTCACCAGATCATACATCTGGATTGTGTGAGCCTTCCTCATATAGTCTCCATTAATCCAACCACCAATCACAGACACACAGTCATCAACAACGGAATACGTGGCATATAGGCGAGGCTGGGGCACAGCACCTACTGTTTCCCACCGATTTTCACCTTCAATGAAGCAGTCAATGTTTGCTGCCATACGTCGCTGCTGATTGGCTAGATCTTCATACCATCCACCAATCACATAAAGGAGACCATTGTGTGTGAACAGTGTGTGGTCAGCACGTGGCATCAACATTGGGGGCAGACTAATCCAGGAGTCTGAGTTGGTGTCATACTTGTAGAAGTCAGAGAAGGTATCTTCGTCAATGTCTTGTAATCCCCCAGAAACATAAAGGAAATCCCCAACAGCTACCCCCGCATGTTGTGACCGATTTATTGGCATTGGCTGGATAGGACTCCAGCTATCATCCACTGGATTGTAACACTCACACGGGGCTGCATCTTCTGCCAGAGGGTTGCTAGCCGATGGGTCTCCACCAATGGCATACAGTTTTCCTTTGGCCTCTGCCAGAAAGAACCGACAACGTTCAGATCTCATCTGAGAAATGGAACTCCAGGTGTGGGTTGCAGGATTGTACTTAAACCCGTAGTTATGGATGATTTCCTGCATGTTGTCATTGAAACAGCCACCAACAACATAAAGGATATTGTTCATGACAACATGGCCGAAGTTACACTGCTGAACATGTGGGATCTGTGTGAGGGTTTTCCAAACCCGAGATCCTATCATACAATACCTCAAATCATTGGTCATACCACTGCGAGGACTAAACCCCCCCACACACACCAGCGCTTTCCTGTAGCCCCGTGTGTTAAGCAGACCTGACTTTTGCAGGCAACAAACTTCAGCAGGAAATCCTCTGGATATGGCATCTCTCATAGACATACTTATCTCCAGCAGTTTTTCAAAAGTGACATTTTGAGAGAGTTTGTTGATATCCTGACTAGAGATGTTCTCCCAATGGACACCGTCTAGAATAGGACTGACTTGAGGTAATCTCACTTCAGGCTGATGACAAATCCACATCACAACTGCTGATAGAAGGTCCCCCTCTGAGCAGTCTACAGGGTAGTTACAGAAGAACAGATTTCGTAACAGTGATGCAGGAATTTGTAGAAACTCTGATGAATATGAGAGAGCTACGAAGTTTTTACACATGAACTTAAGTATATGAACTTTCAACTCTGTCAAGGAGAAGAGGTCAGCCCAGTTAGCCATGTTGGCACAGTTCTCTATACTGAGATGATCTTTGAGGAAATCCGAGCATGCCTTGAGCACGGGTAACATCTGGATATGGTTGGCAGACAGCAGAATGTCCTCAATGTTATCTGGAAAAATAACAAAAAGGTGCTATCACTCACTCTGTAGCCAGTCAGGATTAAATGCAAAAGTTACAATGTAGAATACAATATACAACTGTTAATTCTTTAAGGATCATTAAATCACCAGTACAAATCTCTATAGTAATTTTGAAAACTGCCAAATGATGACAAATATGTTAAGTTTTAAACATTCAATAATTTTAGAGACACAAATTATTTTGAATCTAATACATGAATAAGACCTTTTTCTCTCCAGAAAGCAACTAAAACATAAAAATAATGAAGGTCAAATATGGCAGTAAAGTCATTGAAGCATTTGATTATGGTAAAAAAAGTCACTGAAGCATAAAATTAGGTAAAATAAGTCACTGAAGCATTAAAATAAGGTCAAATAAGTCACTGAAGCAAATAATGAAGGTAAAAAGAGTCACTGAAGCATAAAATTAGGTCAAATAAGTCACCGAAGCATTAAAATAAGGTCAAATAAGTTACTGAACCATTAAAATAAGGTTAAATAAGTCACTGAAGCAAATAATGAAGGTCAAAAGAGTCACTGAAGCATATAATGAAGGTCAAAAGAGTCACTGAAGCATTAAAATAAGGGCAAATAAGTCACTGAAGCATATAATGAAGGTCATATTTGGTAAGTTTTATCCTTGTACCACTTATAGTTACCTAGACATGAAGTTAATTCTCCTTAATGAAATATATGAGGGAATATTTTTGGACGTCACTGGAGCTTAAAATGTAGGTTAAATTGAGGCTCCCCTACATCAGTTCAGTAGAATGATCCTAGCTCCATCATTGATGCAAGTATTATATCATGTAGTACTTATAGCTACCCAGATACAGATTGAACAAATTGTAGAACAGAAGGTCAGATGGACAACGCATGCTTCTGTATCTCCTGTCAACATCGTTGAGCAGGGGATCAATACATTTACTGAAAAACCCATCAGATTAACTGGTAATGCTACCTCATCCAACCCGTCAGATTAACTGGTAATGCTACCTCACCCAACACATCAGATTAACTGGTAACGCTACCTCACCCAACACATCAGATTAACTGGAAATGCTACCTCAACCAACACATCAGATTAACTGGTAATGCTACCTCACCCAACACATTAGATTAACTGGTAACGCTACCTCAACAAACACATCAGATTAACTGGTAATGCTACCTCAACCAACACATCAGATTAACTGGTAATGCTACCTCAACCAACACATCCGATACCAGGACAAGGTAACAATACGAGTTTATTTACTGACAAAAGTACAGTGTAAGCTGTGAAAACACTAAATGTGTAGTCTTTGTGCAGTCTGAGACGTACAGTATAAAATATGTGAATATCTAAACAAAACATTAATTACATTTCACATGTGTGATTACAGTAGTTCTAATTTTTCACAGAGAAAAGATGAAAACTAGATAGGTAATGTTAGCATAGGTTGCCCTCATAAAACCACATTACATTTTTAGCAGTGAAAAATAAGGTTTTATAGTGAAAATAAAGTTGATATTTTCTACTGTGGGAAATAACTTTTTTTTTTCAAGATAAGCTGACCCATCAAGAGTTGGGTTTGATGTGAAGTCACAATATCCCGGACATTTCCTTATTGTGACATGGCAATAAAGTTCTTCCCTGTCTCCACATGTTTTGGCGGGGGACGTCAATCGTTTCTTTTCATATCTTTCCCTCGAATCAAATTATTTATCCAAATTGTGAAATATAACACTGTAATTCATTACGTAAGTATCCTCCACATTGTCTGATGTAGACATTAAACAAAGCAAACTTATAATAACCAAATCATTAGTGTTGGTGCATGGCTGTGTAGGACTGCAGTATAGAAATAAATCACAGCTGCTTGATTAAACAACTATATGGAATCTGCTTACTTTGACAAAAAGGATCTAATAATTACCAAAGTTGAGGAGGATCTTGGAAGTGTAGGCAAAGTCAATAAGGCTGTGTATGCCTGTGGCAGTGACGCCGTTCAGCTGTATTTCTGTCTGCTGACATTCCATCAACCCGTCTGTAAACATCGCCCTGAATCAGCAACGGCAATGTACCATTTACACGAGTACGTAAATACATGTAGCATGTCATAATTACTATACTTACAAAAGAGTTAATACACAAGAATCGAAAATGAGTGAACCAATTTCTTCCATCTTACAAGTAAATCGACTAAGTATATTATGACATATGCAGTTATTTTAAACTGTATGACTTATACAGAAGATGGAAGTTTTTTACTGATTTTCTTACTCTAACTCTCAAAGTTTATTGGTCTAGGTCATATTGGATGAGCTCAAAATACGTATTTTCAATGGGAAATAAGGGAAAATCTTTAAATCCGTCTCTTTTCAATAGGGTGAGAGGATTTCAACAAAATTTGATCTGGAGCATTAATATTGGGTCAAAATCAAGGGACCAAATAACAAAAATACAATCGTACAAGGGGTAAAACCCCACTCCATTTCTGGGAATTACATCACTAAGTTGTTGTGTGCACCTGATCCTGGCCCTTTACGAATATAAACAATTGCTTGGCATGAAGGGATGAATATAATATAGTAAATAGCTATCAGGATTGGCCCAGGGGTCTGGCCCATTAACCCTTGTAGAATAAGCCTAGACCCTTTAACCATGTATACAAATACATTCAGATCTCTACCTGCTTTCAAAGCACACTTTGTCTTTGAATCTTGGAATTAATTTCTGTATAAAAGTGTATACATTCTATATATATATATGTGATATGATCCAATCGTAATGAGGATGTAGGAAAATTTGTGACATCTGAAATATGTCTAAATAAACAAAGCAGTATATGGAAGTGAACTTTGTACAACCAATTAGGAAACTTTTGGTTTAACACAATAGGGTAATATAATTGTCACTTTATAAGCAGAGGAGAATATTGTTATAAGAGGAGCTATATTAGCGTTTTGTTTCTGAAAGTATGATTGTGTTTTGCCAAGCAATATTTAACAGGTAGAAGATATTGTACTGTTTCAATGTTATGAACCAGGGACAAAGTCCCCTTGGGTGGGTCCAGACCCCCAGATCAAACCATAGTAGCATACATGTGAATTCAGTTCGTTATATCCAGTAGCTACATTGATAATTGGTGGAGCAATTGTAAAGGTGATGACTGACTGTAACGTACATTTTTGGAAAGCTAGAGCATAATAGATTTTAAAATACATTTGTACCTTAGTTTACAAAGCCTTCTTACCGAAAATACTGACAGCATGATGCCAGCACAACTCTGTGAGCTGGAAATTTCTGATTCTGTGCTGTCAGAATGACATCAAACAATTGTTGTTTGTCCCGGAGATGTTTGAGTCCAGCCAGGACACTGTGCCCATGATCAGTGGCCTCAAACTTCACCTGGTCGGGCATAGTGGACCCTGGTGTGTCCTGTCGTACCATCTCACACACTAGTCATATCATCAGTCACAACTGGTCCATAAATAAACAAAACAAATCAAATATAATTATTACAGTGACTTCCAAGGATTCTTTGTCTGTCAATAAAAATCAATAAGTATAACCTATTAAATTATTACAGTAAATAAACAATTAAACAGCAAAAAATAAAAATAAATGCATATTCTGTGCGTAAAAATGCAATAGAGCCCTACAGTTGTGTACTACCTCCTACCTCCGGTCACACTCCAACTGATCAGCTACTTATAGTCAGCATTGTGGAAACCCTTTACCTCCGGTCACACTCCAACTGATCAGCTACTTATAGTCAGCATTGTGGAAACCCTTGATCTACGATCACACTCCAACTGATCAGCTACTTATAGTCAGCATTGTGGAAACCCTTTACCTCCGATCACACTCCAACTGATCAGCTACTTATAGTCAGCATTGTGGAAACCCTTTACCTCCGATCACACTCCAACTGATCAGCTACTTATAGTCAGCATTGTGGAAACCCTTTACCTCCGATCACACTCCAACTGATCAGCTACTTATAGTCAGCATTGTGGAAACCCTTTACCTCCGATCACACTCCAACTGATCAGCTACTTATAGTCAGCATTGTGGAAACCCTTTACCTCCGATCACACTCCAACTGATCAGCTACTTATAGTCAGCATTGTGGAAACCCTTTACCTCCGATCACACTCCAACTGATCAGCTACTTATAGTCAGCATTGTGGAAACCCTTTACCTCCGATCACACTCCAACTGATCAGCTACTTATAGTCAGCATTGTGGAAACCCTTTACCTCCGATCACACTCCAACTGATCAGCTACTTATAGTCAGCATTGTGGAAACCCTTTACCTCCGATCACACTCCAACTGATCAGCTACTTATAGTCAGCATTGTGGAAACCCTTTACCTCCGATCACACTCCAACTGATCAGCTACTTATAGTCAGCATTGTGGAAACCCTTTACCTCCGATCACACTCCAACTGATCAGCTACTTATAGTCAGCATTGTGGAAACCCTTTACCTCCGATCACACTCCAACTGATCAGCTACTTATAGTCAGCATTGTGGAAACCCTTTACCTCCGATCACACTCCAACTGATCAGCTACTTATAGTCAGCATTGTGGAAACCCTTTACCTCCGATCACACTCCAACTGATCAGCTACTTATAGTCAGCATTGTGGAAACCCTTTACCTCCGATCACACTCCAACTGATCAGCTACTTATAGTCAGCATTGTGGAAACCCTTTACCTCCGATCACACTCCAACTGATCAGCTACTTATAGTCAGCATTGTGGAAACCCTTTACCTCCGATCACACTCCAACTGATCAGCTACTTATAGTCAGCATTGTGGAAACCCTTTACCTCCGATCACACTCCAACTGATCAGCTACTTATAGTCAGCATTGTGGAAACCCTTTACCTCCGATCACACTCCAACTGATCAGCTACTTATAGTCAGCATTGTGGAAACCCTTTACCTCCGATCACACTCCAACTGATCAGCTACTTATAGTCAGCATTGTGGAAACCCTTTACCTCCGATCACACTCCAACTGATCAGCTACTTATAGTCAGCATTGTGGAAACCCTTTACCTCCGATCACACTCCAACTGATCAGCTACTTATAGTCAGCATTGTGGAAACCCTTTACCTCCGATCACACTCCAACTGATCAGCTACTTATAGTCAGCATTGTGGAAACCCTTTACCTCCGATCACACTCCAACTGATCAGCTACTTATAGTCAGCATTGTGGAAACCCTTTACCTCCGATCACACTCCAACTGATCAGCTACTTATAGTCAGCATTGTGGAAACCCTTTACCTCCGATCACACTCCAACTGATCAGCTACTTATAGTCAGCATTGTGGAAACCCTTTACCTCCGATCACACTCCAACTGATCAGCTACTTATAGTCAGCATTGTGGAAACCCTTTACCTCCGATCACACTCCAACTGATCAGCTACTTATAGTCAGCATTGTGGAAACCCTTTACCTCCGATCACACTCCAACTGATCAGCTACTTATAGTCAGCATTGTGGAAACCCTTTACCTCCGATCACACTCCAACTGATCAGCTACTTATAGTCAGCATTGTGGAAACCCTTTACCTCCGATCACACTCCAACTGATCAGCTACTTATAGTCAGCATTGTGGAAACCCTTTACCTCCGATCACACTCCAACTGATCAGCTACTTATAGTCAGCATTGTGGAAACCCTTTACCTCCGATCACACTCCAACTGATCAGCTACTTATAGTCAGCATTGTGGAAACCCTTTACCTCCGATCACACTCCAACTGATCAGCTACTTATAGTCAGCATTGTGGAAACCCTTTACCTCCGATCACACTCCAACTGATCAGCTACTTATAGTCAGCATTGTGGAAACCCTTTACCTCCGATCACACTCCAACTGATCAGCTACTTATAGTCAGCATTGTGGAAACCCTTTACCTCCGATCACACTCCAACTGATCAGCTACTTATAGTCAGCATTGTGGAAACCCTTTACCTCCGATCACACTCCAACTGATCAGCTACTTATAGTCAGCATTGTGGAAACCCTTTACCTCCGATCACACTCCAACTGATCAGCTACTTATAGTCAGCATTGTGGAAACCCTTTACCTCCGATCACACTCCAACTGATCAGCTACTTATAGTCAGCATTGTGGAAACCCTTTACCTCCGATCACACTCCAACTGATCAGCTACTTATAGTCAGCATTGTGGAAACCCTTTACCTCCGATCACACTCCAACTGATCAGCTACTTATAGTCAGCATTGTGGAAACCCTTTACCTCCGATCACACTCCAACTGATCAGCTACTTATAGTCAGCATTGTGGAAACCCTTGACCTACGATCACACTCCAACTGATCAGCTACTTATAGTCAGCATTGTGGAAACCCTTTACCTCCGATCACACTCCAACTGATCAGCTACTTGTAGTCAGCATTGTGGAAACCCTTCAGCAACTTATAGTCAGCATTACATTTAACCGGTTGCCTAGCCTGGTCCACAAGTTAGATATACATATAAAGGAAATCATTATAAGGGGAGGCTATTTCTGTATAGATAAAACCGTAGAATTGTTTTGTGCTTTGCCTGCAGTGTCACAGGCGTCCTAAAGAAGTAGGTTAAATATTTTGATATTAAATACATAGCCGTAACAATATGTGATGCACTTACAGAAATTTACTGCATGGTTTAATATTGTCATAGACGTCAATAGTTTTGTGTTCAACAACCGTGTCTACACGATTCAGTTATAACATGACGCAGCATTTCTATTTATAGATGTTCATGTCACAGTTTAATTGTATGCTTCACTGAACTTTTCACATCCACCCTTGGGCACATGTTACTTAGTCACTTTTAACTTTAACTTTATTATTAGTGTCAATTTAAAGCTGCACTCGTTTAAAGAAGGAATTGTATGTTATTTTGCACTGACCACAATTAATCTGGTCTTTCCATCATTTAGCCAGCAGGGGGGGGGGTAGGTAAATCTTGTACGCCGCTCCCGCTCCCGTCCCAAAACACCGTACCAGGCATATAGAGATATTTTAATATCTCATTATCTTTACAGACAGCACTGGTAATCCAGTCATCTGACAACCATTTTTACTGAAGTTGACTGGCTAGAGGATGAGTCTCCACTGTAGAAATGTCTGTTTCATTAAAAATCTGGGACTTTATCTAAAACTATACAGGCATCAACATGATTTCTCTGATTATATCTGTAAGAGACCAAACAGGTGGATCCCCCGGGCTAACTTCAGCTGATTATTCTCAGGCCCTGAAGCTTTCAGCAACACAACCGTGGTAACTGTACATGGTTTTGACAGGTATAGATTTCTGTCAATAATGTCTTTTGTCAGGTTAAATGAGCCAGAGGGTATAGGAAGCAACACAAATTAGGTGATATACAGTGTACATAGCTAGGAGTGAGTCATATGTGCAATACAGAAACTGTACTCATATTTGTCTATAGTAAAGATGAATTTGTAAAGCCATGATAGCAAAAATCCTATTTATAGTAATGGTGACTCATAACTCGAACAACAAACGGAGAAGAAAGGTACCTGTGTAGGTATGACACCTGCAGCTTCTCTATATAGTAACTGTGATTTTCCTTGATCCCAGAAAGAGGCAATAAATGTGGGGACCCCCCGCAGAATTGGGGATGAATTTGCATTTATGCCCTATACTTTGGGACACATGAACTGCACCCATCACAATATCTGGGATCTTTGTATTTCTCCCTACTTCTAAACCTTTTGTTTAAAGTTCACCAATGCCGGGTGGGGTTGAAGGCAATGGGTTCCGTCCCTGTGTCTGCATTGTTTTTCAATTGAGTGGATGTGCATCAAATCATCACTATCATATAAAGAGGCAAATACACCAACTTACCACCTCATATCACAGGAGCCTGAAGTTCTGTCAACAATTAATAATAACAGTAATACAAAAAAATACCTATAAAATGCTTTTTTTTTTTTTTTTAAGCATCTCATACACACATGGAAATACAGGCTTAAATGACAGGATATCAAACACGAACAACCATTCAACTTGCCACTATACTGAATGTGTTGGAATGTACTCGGATGTACTGTTTTTTTAAGTATTTAATAGGTATTTTTTTATATTACAGTTATTCTGTTTTTATATACAATATATATATATATAACACAGTCCTTTCTAATTTCTATATGTAAGTGTACTGTATATATAATAATTCTAATGTATTTGTAATTTCCTACGACTAGAAAGTGTGGGGGAGACGTNCCACTCACCGTCTCAAAATAAATATTAATAGAAAATCAACCGTCTTCCGAAGTGCAGGAAGTAGGGCCAGTGACAGATCACGAGTATAGGACACAACTGGCGATATATTGATATGAAATCTTGGACGATACATTGTACTAAGTTCATTGTTTACCTGTACAGTAACCGTCAACAATATTGACGCCGGTACGTTAGTCAACAGACCTATCAACGTACACGTATGATAGTGTCTTTGTATCTCTACAGAATCCACTGAAATAGAATGGGTAATGTTTAAAACAGATAAACTCCTACCTTCACGATCCCCGAGACGTAGTAGACGGGTGGCAGTGTCAATGTATTGAAGCTGAAGCCAGTCAACCTTACAATGTTTACTAGCTGTTCACTTCCTGTTAAGGTCAGGGGTCACACTGCAACCGGCATGGTCCAGGGTAAAACACGGATAAAGAAAACCAGAATATCATGGATGGGTATCGTTACATCTGTTACTCAACTTTGTATCTTATCTTGTTAACATCTTGTTAAAGTTCTAATTTGAATTGGTTTATTCTACATTGTAAAATGTTATTCTTAATGTCTTAATGTTAATATGAACCGCAGTTCACTTCACCACTATGGTAAATTAAACCGCCCCATGGTGAAATGTATTACTGTAAAATTTTCAAATCATTTTCTTTTTGACAATTCTTCATAAGCTTACATTAGTTTGTTGTCCTATAATATGAAAATAATAAAATTAAGTCTAGGGTAGAGAAATTTAGGGTGGGCAGGGGGGGCTTTACTTTACCATTGTAACAGGAAAGAGAATAGTGTGCTTCCACCGGGGATCGAACCCTCGATCTCCAGGTTCCTAGTCGGACACTCTACCACTGAGCTAAAGGGAAATTCCCTACAGCTGACGCTTGTAAGGCAACCTAATTAATCCACATCTTTTACACTATTCCCCCCTTTTTTTCACATATCAACCCAGGTTATTTGACTCCCCGCCATGGGTTTTCCTACCTTGAACGGGGAGGGTCAACGGCACCAGTTTGTAATAGGACGAGGAAAAGTGATAAAGATATTACCGTCGCTGGGGATCGAACCCGCGACCCTTGGCTCTCCAGCCCGATCCTCTACCGCTAAGCTAAAGGGAAATTCCCCCTAGTTCGAAGCTAGATGGCAACCTTAATCCTATGTACAATTGAACCCTGCCACACTACTCCCCGTCACAACAGAGAGGGCCACGGACACCATTTGTAACAGGAAAGAGAATAGTGTGCTTCCACCGGGGATCGAACCCTCGATCTCCAGGTTCCTAGTCGGATGCTCTACCACTGAGCTAAAGGGAAATTCCCTACTGCTGACGCTTGTAAGGCAACCTAATTAATCCACATCTTTTACACTATAATGGTGTAATGAAGGGTACCGGTTTCAGCATATTTTTTCCATTTGACCTTTATAAACCAATTCTTTTTAACTTTACATCAATCTTGTACATCGGCCCTGGATCCGGACTGTAAACCCGATCAAATCATATACCCCGGGTAAAATACAAATTGTATACCCCGGGTAAAATACAAATCATATACCCCGGGTAAAATACAAATCATATACCCCGGGTAAAATACAAATCATATACCCTGGGTAAAATACAAATCGTATACCCCGGAAAAATTACCACTTTTGACAAACGATCAGGAATATGGTGTTGATTTCTTGTTAAAACACAGTTGTGATGTCATCCTTTGTTTTCCTTGTATATTATACAGTAGAATGTACCAAGAAAAACATGCAGCTGTTCATTATTAAGCAGTAACTCTCCATTATTGTGTTTAAAAATGGACAGCTACAGGCTACAAAAATTGTCAGGAATAGCAAATTTAGAAAAGAATCCACCATTGACTTTCATGTATAGTTTTATTAGATACTTGTACATTAAAATACAAAATAAATTTGACAGTAAAACAAAAAAAATATAATTCAAAGTTATATTTGAACGAATTATATTCCAACAGACAATTTCAAGTTAATTTTATTGAGGAAAAAAGTCTTTGAGAACTATTAATCCAACAGATTGCTTTTGACTTGTTTGATGAGGAAATAATACACCAACTATTTAAAACAAGAATTCCACGGAAGTGGATTTGTCGCCTGCGCAGGAAGCTGGGAGATTACAAGAAATAGATACACTTTTCATTTCAAGAAATAATGTTAAAAGTAAGCAATAATCATAGATTATGTTTTTGGATGGCATCATTTTGTTATATAATCTGTTATTCTGGGAAGAATACTCTGAGTTTTAAGGAACTTGCTATGGATACTCATTGTCTCAATTCCACTCCAATATGGTGTCCATAAGCAAAACCAGCATCGCCTCATTGGTATCCATAAAAAAATTCTTGAAAACGCAAGTATGCTTAGCACTGCATGAAGTTTAAGTTTGATCGGCCCAAGGAAACTCGAGATATCGCACGAAAACAGATTTTCTATTTATAGTAACAGTGACCTTGACCTTTGACCTTCGGACCTGAAAAGCAATCCCAAGCAAGCACTTTTGGTAAGGAAGCACTGCATGAAGTTTGAGTTTGATCGGCCCAAGGAAACTCAAGTTATCGAACGAAAACAGATTTTCTATTTATAGTAACAGTGACCTTGACCTGTGACCTTCAGATCTGAAAAGCAATCCCAAGCAAGCACTTTTGGTAAGGAAGCACTGCATGAAGTTTAAGTTTGATCGGCCCAAGGAAACTCAAGTTATCGCACAAAAACAGAATTTTTATTTATAGTAACAGTGACCTTGACCTTTGACCTTCGGACCTGAAAAGCAATCCAAAGCAAGCACTTTTGGTAAGGAAGCACTGCATGAAGTTTGAGTTTAATCGGCCCAAGGAAACTCAAGTTATCACACGAAAACCTCTGTGCGAACGACGCCGACATAGCAATACCTATGTGTCACCAGCTTTTTCGCAGGCGACACAAAAACCCATAATCATCTGAAACAGATGATTGAGGGAATGGGAAAATATATCTACCGCTGATTCAGGAATGATCCAATAGATCTTCACACTAAGATCCATACTTGAGGTAGTCCTATAGACACTTGCTGATGAATCAAGCCATGGTTATGGATATAATTTTTTATTTTTTGGAAGCTAGATAATTAACTGCCATCAGTGTTGATGATGTTGATTGAAGTTTTAATTGTTTTTGTTTCAGTAATTTCTCGATGCATGTTCAATCCAGGTGGAATTAAAAACATTTTCACTGTTGTTCTCTGTTCAATGTGTTTTCTTAACCAGCATGTCCTTAAATTAAAAATCCGTCAACATTATGTTGAAAGCATTTATGTCATCTCCTGAGAATTACATGTTCTCACTTGAAACAACCAAGTTGGACTGACTGATAAATACCCAGGATTTACTGTACAGTGTAAAAAATACCCTGTTAGGCTGAGGCATTGTTTACATAATGCGTCCAGGGTGTGACAGAAGGTCTCCAGGGCATTTATCATGATTCATTACCACCATTTGCCTGTATTTTTTTTTGTGACAGTGGCCAAAATAAAGTGATATTAAGAGAAATCGACATAAAATCAGGTGATAATAAAAGAATTGAATTGCATAGATTATATAGCAGGAAAAACGGTGCATCAAAAAAAACATGATAATAACCGAAAAGTGACATTAACAGACGTGATATTAGGTGAAATGTACTGTACTAGTGTTCCGATGTGAAAATCATGTGCATTTCCAAATATAGTCGACTACAATGATGCTCTGGACCAAATCTGGCGAAAATCCCTCAAATTGTACAGAATAAGACGCATCTTAAAATTTCACCTCAATTTCCATTCAGATCAAGTTTAGCTGTTTAGGACTAGAAGTGTTTTATAGGAAAAGTTGACGGATGGATGGACTTTGGACCTGATGAGCTAATGAATCTTCTGATTTTAAATATTTTCACAACAAAAATCATAATTATNGGGGGGGGGGGGGGGGGGGGGGGGGGGGGGGGGTGTACAATGAAATCAGTTTGTCTGTCCGTCAGTATTTCTGTATACAGAATCTTGTCCCAACAACACCTACTGTTTTTATCAAAATTTTGTGAAGCTCAACTGATGTAGTCAGCATTCCCTGAAGTTATGCACCTGCTCTTATCTTTTGATCTGGCAAACAAGAGGCCCTATGGGCCTGCATCGCTCACCTGGTATTAATCTTACACTTGTAATCTTATAAGAGGACTAAAATACAGCTACAGGCAGAATATCAGTGTTTGATTCATAAGAACGTATTAAAAGATTTAAATATGACACCTGTGACCTTGAATGTCAAACAAGGACATTAGGTTGAAAGTGGGTCAAGGTCATTCATTTGAACAAACTTGGTAGCACTTCATCCAAGCATGCTACTGGCCAAATATTATCCCCCTGGGCATTTTGGTTACTAAGAAGAAGTTGTTGGAAGATTTTACGACATTTGACCCCATGTGACCTTAAAAGTGGATCAAGGTCATTCATTTGAAAAAACTTGGTAGTCATTCATCCCAGCATTCTACAGGCCCAATATCAGTACCCTGGGGCTTTTGGTTATTGAGAAGAAGTTGTTTGAAGATTTTAAGACATTTGACCCGTGACCTTGAAAGTGGGTCAAGGTCATTTGTTTGAACAAACTTAGTAGCCCTTCACTCTAGCATGCTACTGGCCAAATATCATCACCCTAGGCCTTTTGGTTATTGAGAAGAAGTAGTTTAAAATACCGGTAAAATATTGACGCCGGACGCCGCACGCCGCACCACGGCATAAGCTCACTTGGCCCTCCGTGACAGGTGAGCTAAAAAAGGGAGTTATGCTCCTTTTTATGAAATGGAGTCCGGGCATATCTTCGTTATAATTTCACATGGAGAAAGCAGATTTGCTATGCAAGTATATGTTGGAATGGTGGAGCGCTAAGTACAACAAGAGGCCCAGAGGGCCTGTATCGCTCACCTGAATATTTAAGCAGTCATAGCAAAATATTCTCATTACATATTATATTGCACTAAAAATATTTCCCTCGCAAACTTTGTCGGCTCATCTGTTGAAACTACCAGCAAAATATTATTATAAGATTCTATGCTTTTTGATTCTTCTTCAGAAGTTGCTTGACATATTTTCCCCTGTTATCTTGTAAGTAGGTCAATGTCATTTTCCTTCTCAAATTGGTTAGCTCTATTCCAAAAAGCTACAAGTCAAATCTTATGAATTCATTCCTTTCAGTTCTTAAGAACAAATCCTTTAAAATGTTGTTGACCTCTGTGACCTCAAAAGTAGGTTGAGGTCATTTTCATTCGCAAACTTTGGTGAGCTCTATCCCAGAAGTCACCAGACAAATATTATAATTTTATGCCTTTTAATTCTTCAGAAGAAGTTGTTTTAAGCGCAAGACATATCTGACTCCTGTGACCTTGAAAGTAGGTCAAGGACAAGTTCATTCGCAAACTTTGTTGAGCTCTATCCCAGGAAATAACCAGCCAAATATTAAGGTTCTATACCTTCCAGTTCTTCAGAAGAAGTCATTTGAAGTGTTTGACATATCTGACCTTAAAAGTAGGTCAAGGTCATTTTCATTCTCAAACTTTGTTGGGCTCTTTTCCAGGAAGCTACAAGCCAAATATTTAGGTTCTATACGTTTCAGTTCTTCAGAAGAAGTCGTTTGAAGCATTTGACATATTTAACCACTGTGACCTTGAAAGTAAGTCAAACTAATTTTCATTCTCAAACTTTGTTGGGCTCTATTCCAGGAGGCCACCAGCCAAATATAAAGATTACATACCTTTCAGTTCCTCAGAAAAAGTCGTTTGAAGTGTTTGACATATTTGACCCCTGTGACCTTGAAAGTAGGTCAAGGTCATTTTCATTCTCAAACTTTGTCGGGCTCCTACCAACAAAGCTTTCAGCCAAATATCATGACTCTAGTCCTGTCCGTTCTTCAAAGGAAGGTGTTTAAAGGAAAAGTTGACAGAAGAGGACGGAGACGGACGACGGACGGATGACGGACCGTGCACCATGACATAAGCTCACTTGCCCTTTGGTCAGGTGAGCTAAAAAGGAGGTCTCTGTGACCTATAGTTTAACATTTGACCTTATCCTTTTCAAAGGATGTCCGGGGCATATCTTCAACACTATTTCACCTGGTGTAACCAGATTTAGTATTCAAATACATCTTGGGATATCAGAGCGTCAGGTACAAACAGGAGGTGTTGTGATCTATGGTTAATTGGCCTCAGCCATCGAAAACAACTTTCTAGGACAAATCTTCTACACTATTTCACCTTGAGTTAGTAGATTTGGTACATCTTGCAATAGCAGAATGTCAAGTACAAAAAGTAGGTTACTGTGACTGGTGCTTTGACCTTTTAATTATCTTTTGGAAAAAGTTTGTCTCATACTATTCACCTGGATTAACAAGATTTGGTTTGCAAGCATGTCTCCCCTGGCAAAGTGTGGAGCACAAAAATTAGATCACTGTGACCTATATCCTAAGATAGGTCTACAGCAAAACAAAGAAATCATTATTGGTGGGGGACCATGGTTTGCTTTGCAATACTTTGCCTTATTCATTTAATTATTTCTTGAAAGAACTAATCCTACAGTTCTTGTTGCATGTAGGCGGGTATAAGTCTGCCGTTCTGGCTACAGTTCTAGTTATTATTAACACCCAGTATTTACAAATTTTATTGCTTATTTCAGCTATAGTGTAGAAAGGAGAAATAATGATTGTACTAAATATTTCAAATTCAAACACTGAATTATATGAAAACAATAATAAATTAAAAATATTTTTTATTTCAATTCAGACATTGAACATTTCATCACAGTTGAAGTTTTCAGCATTCACAGTTAATTTCATGTTCCATAGTTTTAGTACATAGGAATAGGTTTTAAACANTTCTCAAACTTTGTTGGGCTCTATTCCAGGAGGCCACCAGCCAAATATAAAGATTACATACCTTTCAGTTCCTCAGAAAAAGTCGTTTGAAGTGTTTGACATATTTGACCCCTGTGACCTTGAAAGTAGGTCAAGGTCATTTTCATTCTCAAACTTTGTCGGGCTCCTACCAACAAAGCTTTCAGCCAAATATCATGACTCTAGTCCTGTCCGTTCTTCAAAGGAAGGTGTTTAAAGGAAAAGTTGACAGAAGAGGACGGACGACGGACGACGGACGGATGACGGACCGTGCACCATGACATAAACTCACTTGCCCTTTGGTCAGGTGAGCTAAAAAGGAGGTCTCTGTGACCTATAGTTTAACATTTGACCTTATCCTTTTCAAAGGATGTCCGGGGCATATCTTCAACACTATTTCACCTGGTGTAACCAGATTTAGTATTCAAATACATCTTGGGATATCAGAGCGTCAGGTACAAACAGGAGGTGTTGTGATCTATGGTTAATTGGCCTCAGCCATCGAAAACAACTTTCTAGGACAAATCTTCTACACTATTTCACCTTGAGTTAGTAGATTTGGTACATCTTGCAATAGCAGAATGTCAAGTACAAAAAGTAGGTTACTGTGACTGGTGCTTTGACCTTTTAATTATCTTTTGGAAAAAGTTTGTCTCATACTATTCACCTGGATTAACAAGATTTGGTTTGCAAGCATGTCTCCCCTGGCAAAGTGTGGAGCACAAAAATTAGATCACTGTGACCTATATCCTAAGATAGGTCTAAGGCAAAACAAAGAAATCATTATTGGTGGGTGACCATGGTTTGCTTTGCAATACTTTGCCTTATTCATTTAATTATTTCTTGAAAGAACTAATCCTACAGTTCTTGTTGCATGTAGGCGGGTATAAGTCTGCCGTTCTGGCTACAGTTCTAGTTATTATTAACACCCAGTATTTACAAATTTTATTGCTTATTTCAGCTATAGTGTAGAAAGGAGAAATAATGATTGTACTAAATATTTCAAATTCAAACACTGAATTATATGAAAACAATAATAAATTAAAAATATTTTTTATTTCAATTCAGACATTGAACATTTCATCACAGTTGAAGTTTTCAGCATTCACAGTTAATTTCATGTTCCATAGTTTTAGTACATAGGAATAGGTTTTAAACATGTTTTGTCATTTATACAGAGGTGCATGATTTACCTGTGTTTTCATTAATACAGAGGTGCATGATTTACCTGTGTTTTGTCATTAATACAGAGGTGCATGATTTACCTGTGTTTTCATTAATACAGAGGTGCATGATTTACCTGTGTTTTGTCATTAATACAGAGGTGCATGATTTACCTGTGTTTTGATATTAATACAGAGGTGCATGATTTACCTGTGTTTTCATTAATACAGAGGTGCATGATTTACCTGTGTTTTGTCATTAATACAGAGGTGCATGATTTACCTGTGTTTTCATTAATACAGAGGTGCATGATTTACCTGTGTTTTCATTAATACAGAGGTGCATGATTTACCTGTGTTTTCATTAATACAGAGGTGCATGATTTACCTGTGTTTTCATTAATACAGAGGTGCATGATTTACCTGTGTTTTGTCATTAATACAGAGGTGCATGATTTACCTGTTTTTTGTCATTAATACAGAGGTGCATGATTTACCTGTGTTTTGTCATTAATACACACTAGCAAATATGGAGCACATTCTTGAACAAAATACACTGTAGTAAGGTTTTCCTCAAGATGTACAATTATGGGATTATATAATCCCCGTTGATATGAAGTTAGTTAAGCATGCACTCGACACTGTAATTTACAACACAAAACACACTTTCCAGCATGTTTTAAATGCTGTTAAAATAACTGTTGTCCAATCAGCACCGTTTAAGGAACGGTTACTCAAGTTCTATCAATATATATACATGTAGGCATTACTCTGTGGACAGTTTACAACTGAGCCTGATTTTAATTACTGCTATATATTTCCCACATTCTGCAACAAAATCAGTCCATAAGTTCAACACAAAGGTGAATAGTTTAAATGAAGTTCCATGACAGACCTAGCAATCCCAAAACAACAAATTCTAAACACAAATTCAAACACAGAAGGAATTGTTACTTTTCTATGTAAATGTGAAAGTCGGGTTTGGTGGAAGTAAAGGCATTTACTGTGTGGTACAGTACATATCTAGGGTCCAGGTAACGAAGACTCGGGCAATCTGAAAATGACATTTTTTAGACTGGATTTATTTACAGAAACCACTGTCTACTTTATTTAATGGTTTTATGTTTATATACTTTGACTTTGATTTCGTATTAATCATTTGTTGTTTTAGATTGTGACTTTGCCTCTTTGGCTGCGTCAGACATAATCTGCCTGGTCTCCACTTTGATCTTGTCCCCATGAGGTGGAGGTCCAATCAGATCACGAACCTCATCATATGTCAGACTTTCCTTCTCCAGGAGAGTGCTGGCCAACTGAAATCAAATGTAGCACCATTTAAGTTACACTAGCACCATTTATGTTACACTACTTGTAACACCAACTTTTGATTGACACAGACAACTAATATTTCCACAAGGTCTACCTTTAGATAAACTATATAATTTACATATTTATGTTAAGATTTTGTTCAGAAGTCTGATACAAGTTTATCAAATCCTCCGACTAGATCTCAAGGTTGCTCAAGGACCTCAACATAAGGAATGTCTGTGATGCCCCTTCCCATACAGTTTAATGTACTATGTTTCAACATTAATTTTGAAGGAGAAACAGGCCATGTTACTGCACATCAGTCTCTAACAGGGGATAACAACACAACAGGCCATGTTACTGCACATCAGTCTCTAACAGGGGATAACAACACAACAGGCCATG